CACTACGTTGAACCAAGTGAGCATTAAATGATCACTCAATATACTAGTTGCTACCTCCGGAGTTTTTTTATCTGACTCGATCAAAGCCACGCCCCACTCCGTACGTCTATTGGGGGCCTTTCGGCTGTTTTTGCGCACCTTCACTTTGTTCAGCTTGAATGCTTACACTAAAACCTTAATAATAACGGCGGAAGGATCTCTGTTTCCGACATTGTGAAAGGCCTTTTGCCGAGGCAGCTTATGCTGTGGTCTTAAGCAGAGATTGGACAGTGGCATTTTATTTTTAGGGAAAGCAAAGAACGAATGGTCATTTATTTTCTCACACTAAGCAATGTGAGCCTGGCCAAGGCGAATCAAGCACAGTCGCCTGTAACTGCCTCGTCGAACGGGTCTTTTACATTGGTGGAGAGTGTACGGGTATTTCCTTTTCGCTTTATGGAAACCACTCACCTAGGCTGCTTCGCACAAGGCCATTGGGTGGTCCTTCTTGGTGTTCCTGTAACAAGAAAGAAAACATTTCTCTGGAACTTTTTTGTTTAAATAGTTGCTGCACAGTTACAAAAACACTAACCTCAACGCTTCTAAGAAGATCCGTTTAGAGACTTTCTTAAAACTTTCTGGACAATATGGTGGTCTGGATGTGTCCCTTGCTCTTTTGAAGGTAACTTGGTGAGAAAGTATGCAGTCTGGTATAGGTATTACGAACCCTGTATTGCATGGCGGCGTGCGCGAAATAGAGGGGGCGCTTTTATAGCTATCATCAACATCGTTTGTGACGTCATAGGTAGGGCAGGCTGGGACAGGCCGCGCAGATCTTGGATCTCTCGGCTCGTCAGCTCCCTTCATGCGGTGTTTAGGTAAGCCACTGCAATGACTGTTTCACGCGTTATGTTCATTTGGTGAAGCAATATTTCTAGTAGGTCATTTTACCAAAGCTCAAAACTGTGGCACGCGTTGTCGCGCTCACAAACGCTTTCGGCGCTGATGGGTCGAAACGCTGGGGGATGGTGGTGTGCTGTTCTCTACCCCAGTACAAGCTACAAAGCTAGATAGTAAAAATGAATTATCTAGCGCTTTACCCTACTACAACATCTACCACGACGAAGAAGGGGGTATTTTTTTATTTTATTTCAGACAAGGTAAAACTGAGAAAAAAATGTATCTTCAAAATACAAGTAGGAAAGTGAAATTAGAGAACCTCTCGCGTGTGTAATTAACACCTTAGTAAAAGCGACTCCAAGTACCCTGTTGGTTGATGTGTTCTGTGAGTACTGGTTTCTTAGCTCCAAGTTGCTTCCTCTTTTTTTTTTTTCTTGTGTAAACAAGTAAACAAATATTTCCTCAAAATAACTGCCAGGAACAAGCAGTGCCTGGCTTCCGGAGTCGTTTAAACTAAATCACTTATATACCCGGTGAACGCGAAATGTGCGAGACCTTTACGCCGTCGAAATCTTAAATCTAGTAAGTCTGTGACACTTCACCGACCCAAAAAGGGAGGTATACACCTGCTATGAATTACTGCCGTTTGGATGTTTAGTTTTGCGGGCCCAAATGCACATAATGTATGATGCGCTTTTCAAAGAGCGAATTAAAATGTGTACACAATTCTTAGTAAGCCTTCCAGAACAAACATAACAAATTAATAAATCACCTGAATTTGCAGGGCCATGTTCGACAAGTTAAGAATTTATAAACAATTCAGCTTTTTTTGTTTTTTTTTTTTTTGGGGGGGGGGGGGGGGAGCAGAAGTGGCGGTGTGACAAACTTCTTTGCCACGGATCCGATGCGGGATGATCTAAGCGTAAGTTTCTGCGAGCCTCTGCTCGTCAGCAAGTGCCGAGTCACACTTAGATAGAAGCGTCGGTATCGGTAAACTCATTGTAGCTAAAACAAGTGTGCGGCGCTTTGCAGGACTAGGGCGCCTTCATGTGCGCTTCGCATAGAGTGATGCCAAGTGCCTGTTTCCCTTTCCCGCACCCTCTTCCACCGCCATTTTGTTCCTCTCATTCGTTCCCCGTGCGCTGGAAAGCGGCCTTTGTATCCATCGGTCCTCCCATCCGAGAGGAAAAATGCTAATCCTCCCTCCGTGGGTTCCATAACGCTGCTCCAAACTTGTGAGATGAGGTGCTTGTTTCCGGGAGGGTTATAAGCCCCACGGATTATCGCCGAGAACCAAAATGGCTGCTGGTTTGTCGGCGAGTGGTATTACAAAGGGTGGCCTCACCCCAGGGACGGGCAGTATTTCAAATACAAGTATTTGAAATACGTTGTCTATTTTGCATTTGTATTTAATTACAAGTTGGGTAATGTATTTGACGTGTGTATTTAAATACTAAAACGTGGGAATTTCAAATACAATTGTAATTAAATACAATTTTGTGGGCGAAAATACATCCCTCAAATTTATTGTCACGACTCAATTTTCTCATCCTAAGACGTGTCCAAAGCAGGAAGAAAACTACGTTCTGCACCGAATGCAGTGTCTCTCTATCAAGCACAAGCGTTTAGCGACTTTGTGATTACGGTGCTACTAGGGCAAGAATAGTGACGAAATCGACGTTCACAGGCAGACTGGCTAAATAAGTGCCAATGACAATTTGTGATGCTTTCAAGCTTGATTTCAATCCATACTTTTGCCTGGAGCATTCTAAATGCGCGGGTCGTCCAGATTTTCGTAACTGGTGCGAGTTGCAACAATAAAAAATTATCTAGCTAGTGCTGCGCGTCTTAGTCGTCTCGGTTCTCTGTTGGTGTATACCAATATGTAATCGACAAAAAAGCTGCTTGAAGCTCTGTACTTTTTTCACCTATTACGTCTAAGCTGATTACATTTTTTTGTGATTATATTTCTATTACGTTACCAGAGCCTCGCACACTAACTCCCGAGTGTGCGATGCAAAATTAAAATGAGATACCCAGAAACCCGTTGCAGGTGCCCTGAAGTCGCTGACGCAAATTTTGAGGAATGTATTTGGAAAAGTACTTGGAGGAGACCAAATACATTTGGTTGTATTTGTATCTTGTACTTCAATGCTTTTTTTTTTTTTGGAAATGTAATTAGATTTGTAATTAAATACATTTTTGACGAACTATTTTGTATTTGTATTTCGATACATATTTCCAAGTATTTTGCCCATCCCTGCATCATCCTAGCAAAGCGCACATGAAGGCCCCTATGCAGGACAACTAAAAGCGCGTGCGCAGCCAAGAATACAGCACGTGATTTACTCTCGTGACCGCAAAACTTTTTTCCACTGCAGCCTCCACAGATCCAGGAAAACAAGAATCAGAGAGGTTGTGAATAGCCTTGGCGCACGCTACGCTAGCTGTATTCTAAAGTTTCCGGCTTGTTTTTGGACACTTCTAAGTTTTTTGTAACATAAAAAAAGCAACTTCGAGGTGCTGTTATACATCAAAACGATCACTCACAAAGACGCCATACACGTTTCTACAATAAATAAACCGTTTTAGTCGGCATAAATGCCAACTAACACAGCCACTCCTTGCTTTGGCATAGCGCGTCGTCTGCTCGAATCCTACCAGCTCAGTCACAGGAGGGCGCCAGCAAGGTGGCGCCACCAAGACATCTCATCGCCAACAGGAGCTCGTGTACAGTCGCGATGCCATTAAAACTTCATGTAAAAAAAAAAAAAAAAAAAAAAAACAGGTACGCATGGTGAAGTTTCGCAGAGCTTGTTTCCGCATTTATAAATAAAGTACTAATAACCTAAAAAAACATATTTTGTCTTTCAAGTCTAACTTTAGCTCTGTACGTGAAATTGGGTGGAAGCTAAGGCGGAGTGAGCCAGGGTGAATATTTAAACCTGTCTTGGCTCGCGCGAGTCAAGACACCGTCCGTCTTAGGGCCGAGCACCCTCGAGCAGGCCCATACTTGTATCATGTATCGAGTTAGGAAAGCGGATGGCGTCCGCGTTAGATTTCTCACTGTGTTCTGTCGCACTTGGTATGTAACACAAACACGCAGTAATTATTATTCTTTGTAATGCGAGAGCTCCGCTCGTAACGCTATTGGCAATACGCGATGTCGACAAAAATAAGGTCCTTACATGCAGTTGGGTTCGAATACGTTTCACTGCGTCGAGTGAGCAACAAGCGGCATACGAAGAACGAATGACCCGGTTATTCGCAGCCGCAACGCGCTTCAATGGCCTCAAACCAGAAAGAGCCGCTACAGCTCACCGCGCCTCTACGCTCATAACCACTATAGATTCTACCGAAACCGACGGTTGACCGTTGACGTAACCTTAAGGCGGTAAAGCCGAGCGTCAGTTTCGGCAGCTCGATTTATTATATACGAAATATTAAGCTTCAAAGAACTGCATAAAAGTATTAATCATATTGCCAAGTCCCTCTAAAGAGTCTGAAAATGCCTCTCTCTAGAAAAGTTCAATATCGTCGTTATGGCCCCTTTAAGTAAATTAAATGTATACGCTCCCCTTTAGAGCAGAGTGTCGCGATGGTCTCAAAATTTCAACTCCAAATATTGCGGGAAAAGCGACCGTCACTCTTGCAGGAGACGCGACGGACGCGACGACATGAGGTTACAGTTCCCCGCGCATGCAGCGCCGTGCGTTTCCCTAGTCCTTCGGAAACACGGGGGCACTGCGTCCTCGGTTCTTGTGTGTCGCCTGCTTGTTGTACACGGTGGCTTTTTAAAACAGCGCTTGCGTCATGCAATCTGATGCGTATAAGGAGCAGGCACAATGGCCGTAGGTTCAAAGAGCCTCCCCTTCGTCAGACTTTAGTGTCACGTCTACATTTCGCGAACTCATAGCGAACGATAAGTCCCACCCCAAACCCGGAGCTCCCCAAAGTCCCTTCGCCGCGAGCCCTGTACTCTGAAACGAAAAAGCTGATACCGTGGCTCCGGAATTTAGTATTCTAGTTTAGAGTAAGCTTAAATGGTATTCAAAGCGCCACCCGCCCGTAGCATCTATGCAACTTCCATAACGTTTCCTGCTCTTCTTGGATGCCAATTGTCAATAGAGAGACCATACAATGAATGGCGACGAACGCAACACAAAACTATGACGCTTCGCGAAAATAACTGAGACTGGGCTTTTCGACAGCTGGGTATCAAAGTTGTTGCTTACGCAGTCTTCGTTTGGGTGTCCCGTGTGGTCGCACTCCTGGCTCCCGGCGAAGGCTCTAAGCCTGCGGCCAGGTAGGAAGATATGAGCGACGGGTATTCACTGACATAAATGCGCACTAAGAATGCTCTTGCTACTTAGTCAGAAGCATTTTAGGTCAGCTCGCTGCAGGTACGCTCGATGTTGCAATAAAGCAAAGCGAAATTTGTTACATTAATGTGACGGCAAAGCGTATTTTGGCGAGGGTAATCGATAGCGTGTATATTTGAGCTATACATCAAAGAAAGCAGCAAATACAATTGACGATTGCTTGACTGCGACGTGAGCGGGCGCCGCCACCGCACAACACTCCGAAAATGACAAGGGGACTGCGGACGACGAAGATATAAGGCTCACCTTCTAACTGGATGATCTAGGATTCTAGGTCAATGTTCAAACCATTCATACGAAATGCGTCCACTTACAAAAAAATCCTAACCTAACGTCACCTAAAACAAACCCACCTAACCTAAGCTAAGCCTAATATAACCTATCCTAACCTCATCTAACCTAACGTAAACCTAACCTAACCCTAATGTAACTTAACCTAAGCTAACCTAACCTAACGTAACCTAACCTAACCTAGACCTAACCTACTTAACCTAAACTAAGCCAAATATAACCAATCCTAACCTTATCTAACCTAACGTAAACCTAACCTAACCTTAATGTAACTTAACCTAACCTAACCTAACCCTAACGTAACCTAACCTAAACCTAACCAACTTAACCTAACCTAAGCCTAATATAACCTATCCTAACCTCATCTAACCAAACGTAAACCTAACCTAACCCTAATGTAACTTAACCTAACCTAACCTAACCTAACGTAACCTAACCTAACCTAGACCTAACCTAATTAACCTAAACTAAGCCAAATATAACCAATCCTAACCTTATCTAACCTAACGTAAACCTAACCTAACCTTAATGTAACTTAACCTAACCTAACCTAACCCTAACGCAACCTAACCTAAACCTAACCAACTTAACCTAACCTAAGCCGAATATAACCTATCCTAACCTCATCTAACCTAGCGTAAACCTAAGCTAGCCCTAATGCAACTTAACCTAAGCTAACCGAACCTAACCCTAACGTAACCTAACCTAACCCTCATGTAACTTAACCTAAGCTAACCGAACCTAACCCTAACATAACCTAACCTAACCTAAAGCTAACCTAAGAAAGAAAGGGTCGCGCGAACGTATCCATTCAACGAGACCGTTGGTCGTAGGCAGCGAGTGACGAACGCCTCGCTAGGCCTTTCCACCGACTTGAGCGATTGCTGAAGTTGTTGGGATTGTTGTCGTTGATTCCGGAATTTGTGAATCGAGCAGGCTTCACCGATAATTGCATTTTCGAGTGCGCATTTCTTTTCGTTTCCTGGTTGAAGTCGGGAAGCGCGCGAAGAGCACGTGGAACTGTGCTCGTGGGTCTCCACGGCGAAGATTTCAAGCGGTGTTGTCGGCTATGAAGCTATCGTAGGATTCTATCGTAACTTACATACAACTTCCGATTGTATCGCTTGGCGTATACATTTTTTTTTTTTTTTAGGTTTCGTTTTGTGCACGTTTTACGTGATAGCAAAACCTAGTACACTTAGCGAACAGTTTATGCTGCAACGCCCTAAAGCACGCAACGAACGCATAGCAAAGCGGATGAAATACCTGGCCTCGTCACGTGATACTGGTCACTACGTCGCCATCGAGCGATCGCAGCGCATTAATGGGTCCCGCTCGGGGCTAAAAAGAATATTCCGCGCGCTTCCTTTCACTTAAGTGAGGATAAGGAATTATCCCCAGTGATAGAAATGCATTAAACTATAATGGCGATTAGAGCATAGATCTTCCAGCGCTCGAAGCGCTGAATCGCTCTAGCCAATTGCTCGTAGGAGTAATTAAACTCCAGTATTTAATTTACTCTAAACAAAGTACTAACCGAGTTCCGCACTGAAGTGTAATTGCAAGTTACTAATAAATGTAATCAAATCACAGCATTTCAATTACTTCAAATCAGGGATGGGCAGTATTTCAAATACAAGTATTTGAAATACGTATTTCAAATAATTTGTGTATTTTGCATTTGTATTTAATTGCAATTAGGTAATGTATTTGACGCGTGTATTTAAATACTAAAACGTGGGTATTTTAAATACAATTGTAATTAAATACAATTTTGTGGGCGAAAATACATCCCTCAAATTTATTGTCACTGTCCAGAGCAGGAAGAAAACTACGTTCTGCACTGGATGCAGTGTCTCTTAATCAAGCACAAGCGTTTAGTGCCTTTGTGGTTACGGTGCTAGTCCAGGGCAAGAATAGTGACGAAATCGACGTTCACAGGCAGACTGGCTAAATAAGTGCCTGTGACAATTTGTGAATCTTTCCAGCCTGATTTCCATCCATTTTTTGGCCTGGAACATTCTAAATGTGCGGGTCGTCTAGATTTTCGTAACTGGTGCGAGTTGCAACAATAAAAATTCTCTAGCTAGTGCTGCGCGTCTTGGTCGTCTCGGTTCTTTGTTGGTCCTATACCAAAATGTAATCGACAAAAAAAAACTGCTTGAAGCTCTGTACTTTTTTCACCTATTACGTTAAAGATGATTACATTTTTTTGTGATTGTATTTCTATTACGTTCCTGGCAGGGTGTTGGAACGAAATGTTTTTCGTTCCGTTTTCATTTTCGTTCCGTACAAAAAAGTTCCGTTCCGTTTCCGCTCCGGAACGAATAATAAATGCTCCGTAACGGTTCGTAACGGTTTCTTTCTATGAAAAAAAATCGCAACAAAAATTAAAAGGAACGTAACGTTTATTTTTACACAAAAATAGATAATTCAGGCGCTCTAGAGGAATCCGCGGAAACGACATTGCTTCTGAGATCATGTTCATTGCCTTGAGAATGAGATCATGATCAAGGCACCGAGCATGATCTCAGAAGCAGCACGTCATCAAGTGTGCTCGGTGAAAGGCAAGACCTCTGGTCCGATAAAATAAATTTCAGCGCCGAGAAGGCCCTGAAGGCCCATAGGGATGAAGTACACTTTTGCAACAGAGTCTAAGTATCCGTATCGAGTATCCGTAGAAAAACAAAAGATAGACATCTACAACGCCGGGTCAAAAACTTCCCGCGCTTGCCGTGATCTGTTGTCTGTCTGTGTCGTCAGAAGAAAGCATGGAGGAAGAGGGTGCAAGAGCCAAGGATAGCATTGCGAGCGTGTGGAGGCGTCGCACCACCGCGCTCTCATTGGTGGGAAGCAATGGCGCCTTGCGTCATGTTTTTTGTTTCTCGTTGTATTTTTTGTCTTTGTTTTTGCTATGCTTGTTCGCCCGGAGTTTAGACGCGGGAGCGATGGCTTGCTTGTCTTCTCTTTAATTATTGTACAAACCAACGACTGTCTCTTCGCTGCGTGAAACGAATTACTGAAATACCTGATATTTTCCCTTGAACCGAAAACCGATAAGAAATTTTTTTCGGTTTCACTCCGGAACAAAATAATAAATAACGTTTCGATTACGTTTCCGTTCCGCCCAAAAATATCGTTTTTTTCGTTTTTCGTTTTTGGTTTTCGTTTTGTTCCGATACCCTGGTTCCTGGAGCCTCGCACACTAACTCCGAGTGTGCGATGCAAGATTAAAATGGGATACCGAGAAACTCGTTGCAGGTGCCCTGAAGTTGCTGACGCAAATTTTGAGGAATGTATTTAGAAAAGTATTTGGAGGAAACCAAATACATTTGGTTGTATTTGTATCTTGCACTTAAATGCTTTTTAGGAAATGTAATTAAATTTGTAATTAAATACATTTTTGATGAAGTATTTTGTATTTGTATTTCGATACATATTTGCTTGTATTTTGCCCATCGCTGCTTCAAATAAAGCGCTAGCCAAGCCCAGTCCAAGTGTGGCAGCATTCTGTCCGAGGAATCTCTTACATCTCAATGACCTTGTGCTGCTTGAGCAGCTCGTCGTAGTACTGACGTCGCTGAAGGGGCGTCATGTCGACCACTTCTCTGAAGAACGGCCGCACCCTCGACATCAGCGGCACGTAGCCCGGCCGCCCCGGAACAATCTCTGCGAATATTAGGAACGCAGAATATGCCATAGGCAGAGTTACGTGTTTTCCAATAAACTCAACAGAAAAAAATTGCCGTTAATATTTTGTTAATTCGGACTTATCCAAAAACAACTCCAAATTTCGATGTCATGGTGGCGAAAAAACACACACAAAAAAACTCTCTGCATTCTACCAGCGTGTCCCAAATCGCGGCCAGGCTCTTTAAATCGATCGCAAAAAAAAAAACATTTTAAAAATCGGTTTCTTAACTTATCGCGTTCCGATTTTGTACAGCGTTGGCCACAGGTGGTGCTTGCTTTCTATAAAATTCGCAAAGAGCAAACTTACCTGAGAAAAAAGTAGAAAAAGAGAAAGGCTTAACTCTTATGGAAAGCCAGCGAAGCCACCGGTTTTCAATCATCCGCTTTCAGATTATGCCTTTGGATTATGTAAGCCAAAAAAGAGGCTCTAGGAATTTTTCTCAACGATACTTTGTCTCATCCTACGATGGACTAAAGGCCAAAGCCACGGGCCGCCAGGTCCAATCCCGTTCCACGCTATACTATGACACTCTTAACACTGATGAGGGGTGGACGAATAATGCTCCGAATCCAAAAGCGCCGTATCATTTCTATAGCTTCGATGCTGCAAAGAGCCTATATGGCGTGGCTTTCTGTGCGACGTAAAATTGTTGAGTCAGTTAGTGCTCTTCGATTCGAGCCACTGTCCACCTATCCCCTGATCAGTGATCCGAGACGCGGGATCCGATACGTGCATCGAAGCAAAATACCGCACAGTTTCTAAGGGGCTCGTGATTGGATCGGGCGGTCCGTAGCATTTGCCTTTAGTCCATCGTAGGGTGAGGTGAGGTATAGTAGTTCCGTCATAAAGGTCAGAACTCAACAGAGGGCAACGCTTCAATACAGACCCGAAAGAACATGCTATTATGATTATTGCTGACCTAAAACGAAATTGAGCAACGTTTACTGATATAAAAAGTTGCTCTTTGACACTAAAATTATTTATCATCCAATAAAGATTGTGTTAAAATTACGTTTTAGTGTTAAAGAGGATGAATTTTTGGCTGCACTTTCAAATGTTCTTAAAAAAATCTACCCGCGAAATTAAAGAAGAAGACCAGAATACGCAAGCGAGCGCGTGTAGATGTTTCTTTGCCAGAAGTTCGGATACATTGTGTTGACGCCTAACGGTGGTGCATTTGTGCTACGAAACAATGTATTTTTGCCCTTTCCTTCGATTTGCATGCGAGCCCATCAGAACAAACGTTAGGCGATAGCCTTTTGTATACTGATAATGCCTGCCCAATAGCCGGTTGTCAACTTTTACCACTGGGGTGCGCCGCTTTCCCATCTAAGAAAAACAAAAACGTGAGCGATGTGAACGACGCATCTCTCGTGCGTCCTTGCGTTCTTGGTGCTATTTTGGGCTGTTGTCGTGGCAGCTGTAGGTCGTATTTACGCTTTTTTTTTTACCACGCCTTTTGTTGAATTTTAGGCAGTCCCGCAAAAGCTGCCAGGGATGTCACGTCCTGCGACCCAAAAGAAAACCCGGGATCACGAAAGGTGACTGAAGCCGATTTTGACGAAAGACTGCGTGCCTAATTCGGCTGCACAGGAGTATGCACAAAGCAGCCTTTTACGGCAAGCATTATGGAAGGTATTTCGAGACAGGTCTTCCTTAATGTCCTTACGAGTGGATCCCAGCTTGGTTTGGGCCTCTCTGTAGTCAAAGCTGGATCAGCCCATGTATCCTTTCCGACCTGTTTTGGCGGTGCTTGGCCGGCTGACCTGCCCAGCTCTCTCTCGCGCTACTCGAGGTAGTGACGAGCGCGCGACGACAGGCACAGTACGCCATTGCGAAACATGAGCCCCGGCACATTTAACACCTTCTACACTGCTTAGGGTACTTCGTAGCAGTCGTGATACCAAAGAACTCTGGCCACTGAAATTCGTGTTTACCTACTGCTTTTCGCTTGGTAATTGGCCTCCGAAATAAAAAAGAAAATGAAAGCCGTTTACAACTCCCTGTAACGCCGAATTAGAGCGCAGCTCTTGAGGAGGAGTAGGGAAGGGTACTGAGGGGGCTGGGGTCACGTGGCCCCTCCCCTCTCCGAGGTCACCGAAGCTACCCGAGGTCCTCCCGAAGTCCTCCCGAAGGAACCCGAGGTCCTCCCGAAGTCCTCCCGAAGGAACCCGAGGGGGGGGGGGGGGGGGGGGGGGGCGGCGTAACCGCGACCCCCCCCCCCTCCCCGCCCCGAGGGGGGGGGGGGGGGGGGAGGGGGTGGGTCTCGGTTACGCCGACGGCGACGGCGACGCCGCTCAAGCCGGAAACGGGAGCCTAAGAGCTGCGCTCTAAAACTATCAGTGCTTGCTGTTTCGACATTTAGACAGCTTACCACCTCGGCCATTCGGCTATAATTCGTCTTGGGTCATACCTACCGTCCACTACATTTATTTACAAATGCAAGCTGAGTAAGTCCCTATTCACCCACTATAAGATATGCGTTCCGAAAGTATTGAAATCGCGTACATTGCGCAGCAGACAAGCATCGTCTTCGCGCCCCTGGCGATGATTATGTGAAGCAGTCGAAATGGCGATAAAGCATGGAGAAAACAAAAATTGGGCAGGCATTGTCAGAATAAAGGGGGCCATGGTTGTGCATTAATTTCGATTAAAAACTGCACACATATCGAAGCACCCATCAAAAACTGCAACAAGTTTCAAGCCTAGAATCCGAGCCGTTGTCGTGAAAACAGATCGTGTATTTTCTCCTATGAAGCCTGTATTGCAAGCGATATAGCTCTTCAACTAAGAGAGATTTAATACAAATCGGCCCGACCCTAAACTCTGCCCAACTGTGCTACCAAGCCATGTACGGCTGAAAACACCCTATTCCACATAATCCAACTGGGATAAATTTCTAATTTACATATATTTCTTTCATATCAAAATTAAGACCGATTCAAACGCCAGCTAATATCGTCATTTCTGATGGCCGCCAATGGGCCTCAAACTTAACCTTGGGTCCAATTCCGCAGCGCGTGGGATTCGATTTGTAGCGAACTATTTAGATTCTTTTGGTTGCTTTAGCAGAGGACAAAAACGTTTTCCTGATTTATCTCCGTGTCCAAGTAACACCTTATAGCACAAAAAAGAACACATTCTTTCCTCACGTCAGCAGACGACTCGTCAGTTAAAACGGCTCTCCAGCACAAGGGTGTATTAAAACTAAAGATGCCAAATTAGTATCCCGAAGGGCACCACAAAAAAAAAAAAAAAACAATACTGCTTTCGCATTAGATCGCCTGCTACGAATTAAGTCCCGCGAGTGAGGCAACCAATAACAAGCTTAGATTGTGAACGTCTGCTACTTCACAAAAAGAACAACCAACGACCCATGCTTCTTTTACAAATGTCAAGTCGTTTTGTTGTCCATAGAAACTAACTTTCACCAATGAAGGAAGGAGTATTAGGAACAAGCAGGTCCGCGGTCGCGTGATCTCTCCTACAATTTATCTGTAGGTGAGTTAAAAACAAAATGTTTCCCGACTGTGATCTCCATTGCTCAGTTACGCTAGCCTAACAAAAAAAACAGTTACGTGACGTCTATCAGAATTTGAGAAACTTCTAGCTCTGACCCGAAGTGCAAAACCGTTCTAAACAATTCAATCATCAATATATAACACGCCTCAAGGAATCTCAGCAACAGTAATGTATCGCTCATGAACCATATACCTAGACCAAAATTGGGATCCAAGCGTGCCGCCTTAAATTAAAATGGGTATGTCGTAAGTATTTCTTACCTGGTTCCCAGTCTTCTTCCGTGAAGGTATTTTCATTTGGGAGTTCCTCGAAGCCTTCTGCGAGAAAAAAGCGTACATTTAATTTGTGCTCCAGGAGTGCCGGCTCTGTTTATGACACAAGACCAACCTACCCTCTCTGGCAGATTTCACGAGGATTCAGTTGTTGCGATTATGGACTTTGACAGCTCAGTAGACTCTTTTCAACCCACTGCGACAACTGGTTCGCCATAGATTAGTCAGGTAAACCCGCCAGTAATATGAAGGTGAACACTTTACCTGGTTTCCTGCCTTTTTTACGGCTCCCTAAAGCTACATTAATTCTCAACGTCTCAAATGGTACGTGGCTAAGGGTCTAAACTTTGCTTTCAAGCCCTCTTCTGGAACAGAGCTTGTTCCAATACTTGTAGGAGCGTCAAAAACAAGAAGAGAAATGTTCACCTTCATATCGCTCACGGGTGCACACTGAGCATGTGTTGGACAGAAGGCGTGCGTCAGCCTTCGACGTGAACTCGGCTCAGCTCGAATCGAGAAACTGCATGCAAGCTTCGTGCCCAAAAATTGGGGAATAACGATGCTTCTTGATGGGGATGTCGAAAAAGGCCTATTTCCAGCTATTTTCGGAGTCCTCTATTTTCTGCTGCACTGCAAATGCTATAGTAGCTTTCGCGGTGCTACGACCCCGCACTGCTGCGAGACCATGCGGCTTCGTCTTCCGTCCCATTCGCGGGCACTCGCGTAGCAAGCTTTGACAGAATGGGAGCACTGCGGAAGCTACGCTAGACTTGACAACGCAGTGCAAAATATTTGACGCTGAGTTCTAGCAATGTTCGCGACCAAGAGCGTCGCTGTAGTGGTTAACTTTCCACATCTATCCAAACACTCACCATGGCGTCTCAAAAAGGCATTAATTCTGGTTTCAACGGCGGAAGTAAGAGGAATGCCAGACTGCCAACGCTGAAGTTGTTGATTAAAAATACGATAACTCTAACCTTCCACCGAGTTTTTTACCCACTATACTAAACTTGCCTTTAGCGAGTGATGATAGGCAACCAGGAACACAACTCGTGCCGTCACAATGAGGCGAATTTTGGTACGGACTTTACCTCTGGGAACATGCACAAGAGGGCGCCACCGAAACATCTCGGCACTAACAGTAGCGTCTCAATGAACAGTGTTCAAAACCGGGACGACCCTGACGGCTGTAGGGGCTTCTGGGAACAACTGTCAACGAATGACTGAGTTTCAGTTTCCTCCACTGTAACGTGGCCAATCCCCGACCCAGAGGATGTGCACCTGCCACCTCACCGCAGCGTACCTCGCTCTAGTCTTCGTGATTCGACGTACGAGTGCAAGTGATGCAGTAAAAGTATACGTTTATTTTCGTGACTTTATTAGGGCATTATACATTCGAGTTGAAGGCACCCACGTCACAACAAGGAAGCTACACTAACCGCCCATCGGTGTACGTCGCATTCCTGCAACAACTCGGTTTGTCTGTTTGTCTTCAAGATTTCGGGCAGGGCCTGTACTAAGATTAGCATTGTGCGTTCACAATGTCCTTGTTTTAGCTGTCATGCATATCTTACACCATTTCCATTGTTGTGACACGATTTTCTTTGACCTTGAATAACTCACTGTCAAGTGTTGGGAAGTACTTTAAGTACATTTTGGCTTAAAATATTACTTTTAGTGTGTTTAGAAAACATGTACATTACTCGAAGTACCTTCTCTGAGTATGGGCAGTGCCCACAAAACTAAAACGGAATAAGCGAACTATTTCTTTCCCCACAAGAGCGCTATGCTGACGGAAGTCGAGCAACGGATTTGGGATGTATCACTCAGTAAATTATCCTAAAATGCTAGGTCAAGAAGCCGTTATTCAGATTCATCCTGGATAGCGCTGCCATGACAAACCACAGTTCCTCCGTTTCGTATAAGATGGCGAGCACAGTACTCATATACTTTACTTTTTCTGAGGCTTTCCGAGAAAATAACCACTAACGACTTCAAAGTACTTTTCCTAAATTTGGTCTTGATAAATTTGCATCGCAACATGATGCTTTGTAAACCCTGTGGATGTACAGGGGATATTTTATCCTCACCAGAAACGCGAGCAGACGACGCATCGTTCCGCTTCTGCTGGGGGGAAAACTTTCGCTACTTCTTGCTCGGTGAGTGCAAGCGAGGAGGTTAAAAAGATTAGAAGAGGGCACTTCCCCACGAGAGGATTTATGCAGAAGCTATGGGGCGGGCGTCATGCTCTCTTCTAGAACGTTTAACACCTTTGGGTGCAAGCCAGTGCAAGCAGAGTCAAATTCAAAAGCCGAAATGTCTTCTCAATTTCGCGCCCTTTCTGAAAATACCTGGGGCGCCCCCGACTACCCCTGGGGCAACGCATTCCAGAATAATAAAAAAAACAAAAAAACACTGTGTGCAAGAAAATTAAAGGGCGCCGTGAGAGATGTGTTAATAAGTACTTTTACTTTAATGTAAAACTACATTGTATTTATACTATTTACTTAAAGTAGATTGCGGCCACGCGGTGTACTTACTACTTTACTTGAAGTAAATAACGGCTCATTTACTTTGTCTCAAGCAGCATGCACGAAGATACTCGGCCAGTGTAGTGCCCGCGCCGGCCCAAAGGCGCTCCCGATATCGGCCAAAGGTCCACTTTTGCACCACGACCCGATAACCCGCAAAAATTGGTGTACCGTCGATTCGCAACCGGCTTAACATCGGCGCAATATCGTGCGAATGCTCCAACAAAGTACTTTTTATATATACTTTACCCCAAGCTGTCACCTTCGTTAAAGCCACGAAACAAAAAAAGTACACTTACTACATCACGTGAACACGAGAACCAATCCACGAAGGCTACGGCGCGGTGGGGTGCGACTGCGAGGTAGAGTTTCGAGGTGTCCGTGGTTGACCGAGGTACAATGGCGGAAACCGAAACTGAGATCTTCGTTGACGGTGGTTTCCCAGAATGCACCTCAGCCGCTAGGGGCGCTCCGGTTTTGTACATTGTCCATTGTAAATAATCTCTACTGGTCGCGGCACTGGGGTGAATCTCGAAACCGCGTCCGGGTACAGCGACAGGAGCGGATAGGGCAGACACCTGCTCAGCAGTTTTAAAATGGCTGAAGCTCGTCTCCGACTAATGCGCGGTTTAGTGACCCCCACCGCTTATCCATAACATTGTTTTCTAATGCCTCAGCCCCGCTAGAGCGACAAACAGCAACAACCGACCAAGCCCAAGCACGTGCAGGATTCACGCCAAAGGTACTTTTGGCAGGCTTGAAGTCTCTCTGCTCGTGAGCTATACTCTGTTTCACACTTAGCGTTCAACGCTGTCAAAGCTACTGGCGCGAGCATGAGGCTTGATATCGTTGACCATTTGCACGCGTGCTCGTGCGAATGAAATAATCGACAAAGCAACGCGCACCCGTCACTAGCTTTGACAGCGTTGCATATTAAGTATAAAACGGAGTGTAAGCATTAGTGATTGCAAGCTGGCCAAAAATACCCTTCCGTGTATGCTTCTCGTTTCTGAGACTTGTCGGCGTCGATTGTTTGCGTTTCTCACTCACTCACTCACTCGGACATAAATGGCCACAAAAGAGCCCCCGCGCAATGGTGCTTGCTGTCCAGCCGCCAGTACCTGCAGGTACTGGCGGCTGGTTGGAGAAGCGTCAGCGAACAAAGGCTATGGCTGGTCTAACAAACTAGGCGTCTGCCGCATACAAGTCCACTGCTGTAGCAGTACCATCACATTCCGGCACACATCAGCATGCCATACGCACTTCTGGAAATCACCCATCCGATATCGAAGGAATCCAATTTCAACGATGAGGAAAGTATGCATTCCAGTGCTTACAAATCACCAGCCCAACACGCACGTGTTCGTCACTTAGAAGAACTGATAAATCACGAACTAATCACATCAAGATTTGATTGGCAGGGCTCTTGTGATGCAAAGCAGAGCTACACTTTGTTTTATACTTGCTTGAAGCAAAACGAATGCTACGAACGCGAGGCCGAATCTATGGGATGCGCCACTGCCAGTGCTCGCGCACTGAAAACAACTGCTAAGAGCTCGTGCTCTATACCCTTGCCTGTGCTCTGTCCCGTTATTGTGGATATTTTGTCTCCACCCGCATTGTGGACATAGGGAATCACCACCCGCTTCATAAAGCATAGATAAAAAAGAGCACACTTCCCCCAAAATTTAATCTGGGTCTCGAGGACGATCGTTGAAAATGGCACCGACCAGACGCTCGTTATTGGTGTATGGTCTATACCCATTTTGTGACTTAGCGTACAACGCTGTGGAAGCTGCCGGCACGGGCTGTGGCTTGATCTTGAAGAATTAACGCATTCTCGCGCAAGAAAGATGCAATTTGAATTGCATGCTTTCGCGCGATGGATTTCGCCAAAGTTCTACGCTGAGTATGTCACGGTATAAAATGACAGCTGCGTTTGAGGTGTTGCAATCCTGTCCCAATTTTCTTTTTCCGAGTCTTCGTATTTTCCAGTAATTATTTGTCCGTGTCTACTTTGTTTCACTTTATACGCGAGCGACGCCGAAGTTACAAGTACTAGCATCTTGCACTGAACGATGGATGCACTACATGAGAGAGAGTGCTTGTCAGGAACGCTGAAAGCACTGAGCTGACTGCTTCCGTTAGGCTCTTCAACGTCGCCATCGGTGGCATGAGTACGGACGCGTCGCGACGCCAGCAATACCGACGCCCTTTTGTGTTCCAGCAACCATGTAACACCACCAACAATGCACTCGCCCCCATCGATCGACACAAAGAGTAGTGACCCAGCACCTCCAGGAGCCGCATTGCTGAATTTTTATATGACATCCGCTGGAAGTCAGCACCGGGCAAAAAATGGGCGACATCAATATAGGCCAACGGGTTGTTCACAACCAAGCCCGCGTATCTAAAGACACCGGATATCGGGAGGGTGACTGCACCTGCGCAGAAACCAGATTTGCCAGAGGCGCCTCTGCATGCACCCATTCGACACCAGCGCCACCGTGTGTTGCTCCATTCGCGACGAGAAGTTTCGGAGGCTCTCTCTCAGGGTTCCTGCCTCTGGAGTCACGACCTAGACTTAACGAAAAGCAATTCGTCTGCTTGTCGCGCAGGAGTTGCGGTGACGTCAGAACGACGCCGAGCACTGATTGGCTTTGATTGGAAGGATAGTGAATAGACCTCAATGTTAGTTGCCTCGAGGTCTGCCCACTATTTTTTTCAATCAGTCAATAAGAGCTCGGCGTTCGGACGAGCAGACGACCTTTCGCTCCGCATTAGAAGCAAACGACAAGTGCGATGGTTCGTGAAAAAACCGAGTAGAAGGCTAATCATCACGTTCCTAAATCCGTCGGAGGTTGCTTTTATTTCCGCCGATGAGAGCAGAACTAATCCTATACTCAAGACGTGAGCGTTTAACCAATCGTGCCGATCAGAACGACGCTTTTGGCTGCGCACGTCACTGACACTAACATGATGAGAACAGAAGGTAGGTATTTCAGTTGTCCCGCCTTCAGCGCGAGCTTCCCACCTTCCACGACACCCTGGCGTTTCGTCAGCTTCGAGCGTGCATACGCTGGAAGCTCGCTGTCAGCGGTTGATCTACCCAGCGCCCAACCAGGTATGTGTACGCGTCTCGCGCCACCATGGAGCTTCAGCGTGCCCGTCATATGAGGTGTCAGTCTCTTAGAACCGCCGCCAACACAACCGCATCCCCACGATTCTAGAGCGTCGTAAACGTAATCCAAACATTTGATTATTTGCCTCCGATACCAGGGAAGGCAATGTGGCGTTCGTAAGTGTAAACTGCATGGATCGGGAAGTTTTGCAGGTTATGGGTGCGGTTATGGGTGCCCGCGCCACAACCGTTTTGAACTGATTTGGTGAGCAGATCGGCAAGCTGCATGCATTTCGTTCAACCCATTATTGAATGTGAAATTGGTAACAGCCTCCCGATATTTGGTTTGTCGGAGGGCTCATAAATTGTCTTATAGAAGTCGAGGCCTTCGCCTCCCTCCCAACATCCCAACAAGTCGATCTACGCGACCCCGCCCAGGTTGTGGCAGCATCGACGCCAGCGCGTGGTGCAGCGTCTCTGAACGGGCGCGACGCTAGCAGGAGGCGGCGTTGCGAGATCCTCTAGCAACGGTGTCGTGCGCGGCCACGGTCTTCTAGGTGGTACTGGCTCATACCTGGAACGCTGAAGCGTCTCGGAGGAGGTGCAGACGCCGCCAGCGCCGATGCCAGGGAGAAGGGATCCCTTGGGCGCGCTGCGTTGCTGGAGGTTCTTCGCGACGACCTCATAGCGGACGCTGGCTCGACTGCCGTGCAACAGGACCGCCTCGCAGAGACAGATGGAAGGGAACAAGAGCGCGAGCAGAGTGCTCGAGACAACCTGCGCGTGCTGGCTGTCATTCTTTCTCAAACGCAAACGGTGTATTCCCAGGGCACCTTAAAGGGGGCGATGGAACTCTCTTAGCACTTTGCGCGAATACCGTTTAAAACTAATTTCTGACGTTAATGACCAATGAAACAAGCGTTCTTTTTCACCACACGCTATCGAAGTCGCATAAAAAAGTAAAGAAAAACGGGCCAGCGTTCCCTCCCTCCACTCGCAGCCAGAACAAGCGGCCACGTGATCTGCAGCCAATTATAGGCAGCCGGCAATGGCCAGGCGGCGCCACGAGAGTACTGCATTCAGCGCCACAAGCGGAGGCGTCTCTGTTACTGGGGCGGCCAGTTTACCCGTCGGGCCGTTGCGAGCGGCGGCGACCCCGATTTCAGCAGTCCCCGTGTGCACCTGCGTGCCATGTCCCTTGTTCTTTTATGCATTTTTTTTAAGTGTTGAGAGAATATTCCAGAGTCGTCATTTGGACACCAGTTTGAGTTGTCTTCACTACTTGTGGCCGCCCGATCGGTCTGTGCTTCGCTCGTCTCCCAGGGCTTGTTTTCTCGAACGCGAACCATGGGTTAAAGTTAACTATTGTCCCTAGAAGGGGGAATTCTAGGTCACGTGACTGGGAGAGCAGGGGCGCCGAGGGAGGAGCAGTACCTACAAGCAAAATGGCCGCGGTGTCGCTTAAAGGGGTTATGACACGAAAATTAAACGGATAGATTATTCTTGAAATGGAATGCTCATAGGCTACTTAGTATATACACCAAGTTACGCAATTTTTAGAGCTCTGGTAATTGCAATATTCAATTTAAGAATTTTTATAATTTTCATCTGGCGACCAGGCAACACTGCTCAAGTTAGTCACACCATGGTGTCCATAAACCACGTGACCATGAACACTCTCTCATTCTAGGCGCCCCCATGATCGCCCAAGCTCTTCTCGTCGCGGTACGAACAAAACCGCTCAAACAGCTTGGTAAACTGAAAGCTATTCTCGCTCTCGCCCCCCGGCCGGTTGACCTTCTACCCTGCATGCGCCTGCGAGATATTCCCGGACGACGGTGACCACGGCGAACTCGTCGTCGCTGGAGCTCGTCGCCAGCGGGTCGCAGTCAAAATGAACAGCTTCCAACATCTCTTGATAGCAATCACTCTCATCGCTGCTGCGATCAATGTCGAACACTTCGACAAGGCGATCGATGCCGTAGACGTAATCGTCACAGACCGGATGCTGGAAACGTGGAAGGTAAACGAGGAAGCTGAGAGTTGATACGCCAAGAGAGCCGAGTCTGTGAGTGCGTGCAAGTAGACACCGCGCTGGAGGCTGGCTACGTCATCAGCCTCCAGGTCCGCCCGGATCTGCCCCTCCGAGGGGCCCGCATATAAATCGATTTATCCACGAAATTATCGCGCCTTTTTCAAAACAAATTTAGCAGGATTATAGGAATATACAATGGGTCCTAGCAGTATAGTTATGTAATATTTTATTTTTGGCGTGTCATAACCCCTTTAATGAGGGCTAATAGTTCTGCTTGGTTCTGCTGAACATTCATTTCGATCCGGCTGTTATAATAATGACGCACCATCAACCTATTAGCACGTCAAGCAAAGCGGTAATTCAGAGAGACTACTAAACTAACCAACGGCAGCATTCCGCGAACGCATCACTCTTCAGCAGTTCGGGATCCAAGACATATGACGGTACATAAGTCTTGCAAGTGTTTTTATGGTGAGTAAAAAAAAATGTTTTGCGAACGAGTGACACTAACACGTTTAAGTTGTTACACTATGCACGCCAACTCGTGAGCAGCGATTGCTTTGCGGAGTAAAGGGGTTATCCTCGATAAAGTCTTCGTTCCGGGTGAACAGCTGGGACATTGTACTGTTTTTTTGTTCGCAGTGCGCCGACAGTATGCCGACAGCATCGAGGTTTCTACATATCCCCGGTGGCCAGCAATTCAACGGTGACGAGAAGCTTAGCTTCTCGTCACCGGTGGATCGGTTGGGCAAACGGAAGAGGAGGCAAACAGTTGAGATCAGCAGGAATCGCAGAAACGTACGTCGCAAAGAGCAAAAACGAGACTACAGCACCGGCGTTGCCAGACTGGAAGGAACACGGGAAAGTTATGCGTTGTTTATGGCGAAACATATTGAAGGAAATGTTTCTTACATTTTCGAATATTCGTCGACAAACTCTAGCATAGTAGCTGAAATTTCTTCGTACCATCGGAAGCAAATAAATTGGTCTTGAAGTACAACATTACTATATTTTGACTTAAAATACCATACTAGATCGATAACAACCAGTGGAAAAAGAGGATAAACAAAATGACTGGCTTGTTTCACCGATAGGTGACGCATCTTATTACCCAATCAAAAATAATTATTGTTGTTCTATGTCCAGCCGTTTGTTACAGTACCTAGGTACTTTTTCCTTCCTAGAGCACTATATAGCTCCTTCGGAGCAGAGTAGTAGGGAGGCTGTAGTAAGGGTGGGCGCAACTCAAAACCTGGAGAGCGTTTGCAATTTAATGGCGGCGCCTGAGGGAGAAGATTCGAGAAAGGATATGCGCCAGTGTTGCCTGCACGAGAGCAGGCGCCCGCTCTGTTGCAACTCTGTTGCTCCATGCGCCTTTCCTCCTCTCGCCTCCCATTGCAAGCAACGAGCGGCTTGGCGCAGCCTCTCTTGCTTCCTTCTCGCTCCGAGAATTGCAAACGTCGAGCGGAGAAAGCAAAGTTGCCAGAGAAGTCGCAACGTCCAAGATGGCGGAATTTATAATGTTTTTCGCGTTAAAAAAATACTTAACCTATCGCAACGAAACTGGTGGCTATAGAAAAGTAATCATTTATACCTTGTGTAAATTATTCAAGCACCTTAATGGGCTTTTATGACCCGAATTAGGAAAGAGAACGACCCTTTGCCCCATAGACTCCCAGCAAAATTTAGCAATTAAATGGCGTCCATGTCCCGTGATCGCCGATCTAGCAGTTGCACCCACCCTCACTTGAGCCTCCCTACAGAGTAGCGCAATCTAGAACGCCGCCTCTCGGCGACTATACTTAGTTTCACCTTCAGTCCGAGCGCAGTGGATGCTACGCGCCGTCCCAGCCAATCCAGCGCCGGATGAGTATCGCGTGATCTCGAGCTCCGCGTGTCGCTCCGCCCAACCACAAGGTCACGTGATACTCTCCCGGCGCTGGATTGGCTGGGATGGCTCGTAGCGTCCGCTGCGCTCGGACTGAAGGTGAAACGAAGTATAGCGGCGAACGCCCGGAGGTTCCGACTGCGGTCAGAAACGCATGGAGAACGTGAGAAAATCGTTGTTTCTTCAGTATTGTGGGAATGTACGCAATCGCAATCGTTTTTGACATAATAATGGAACACTTTAGAATAATTTGCGCTAAGTTTCGTGCACCGCAAGGACCTGACTTTTTTTAAAAAATTGCCTGAGCGGCATCATGCAGCAGACGACACGGCGACGTCACACCAATCGCGTGACCCGCTCCGGCCAACCCGAAAAGCCCATCTCCGCTGCGAGCAAAAATCGTCTGCTTCAAACGCCATTGCCTTGGAAATAGCCTTCTCAAAATTTGCACACGCATCCGATATTGTTAAAACTTTGATAAAGTGTTTAGTGCTTTAGTAACTTCACGACAGACTAGTTTTGAAAAGTGTGAACTCGCCGTTCATTTTTTAATCAGCCGTGTTGTGTCGATCTCCATGTATTCTCCCATAGGGCGGGCCGCCTCCTGGAACCCTGAGTACCACGTGACTCGCGCCGAGCCGCTCTGTCGACCATGTTGTCGGCAAAACACGGGGTTCAAAGGATTGCGTTACTCTGCTCCGTAGGAGCTATATAGTGCTCTATTCCTTCCTAGGCACCGTGGTTTACCAATATGGGTTTACCACTCCTTGGTTTACCATCGCTTCGAGAAAACCGGCCCAGGAAGTGACACAACACAACGAGAAGGCAGCGCATGGGTTTATTGTACATCCCGGTTGCCCGGCTTCGAAAGCCGGCAGTCCGGACCCGCCGGCCCTATTTGTCGCCCTTCGTTCCGGGCTCGCGGATCGCCCTTCCCACGCCAGTGCTGCGTAGGCTATCTGTTCCGGGCTATCACAGCCAGAGTCTCGCTGCGGAACTACTCCGGGATCGTCATGGACTAGGCCAGTATGGTCAGGGTTCGCCGCTCCCGCCGGTCCTGATCCGAACTTCGCTGGTGGAATGCTCCCGGGAATCGCCATGGGCCAGACAAGCCAGAACGGCTCTATCGTTCCTGCCCGGCCCCAGCCTCGTGCAGCGCGCTGTTCCTCTTTCCTCGCCGGCTGGCCCCGCTCGCGCCTCGCTCGGCCGTCCTCTCCTCCCGACGCCCACATACACTAGAATAAAATTTGGGTAATTAGAACCAAACTTTGCATGCTACAGAACCGTACGCACATTGCAAAGCCTGATGTAAAATGGCGACAGGCAGCGAAGTGTACGTACTACGTGCAAGAAGGATATTTACGCTTCGCACGAGACTCAGCATTAAATTTGGTTGCTGAAACAAAAACTTTGTACTACGAAAATCCACTTTTTGAAAACTCAGAGGTTTGTGAGGTGTTGGTTGCGACCACGCGTGCCGAACGGCATTAAGAGCGCCGGAACGGGCCGACGAACCTTTCGCTTGAAGACCAGATCGCCCGATTCTCGACATCACAGCGAAGCAACAATCGGCTCGATTGTTCCTATCGTATTTCCCTAAGAGTAAAGCTATACGCACTCCGGAGTGCGCTTCGCGCGGAAATGGCTATACGCACTCCTCCGAGAGATCATGCCGCTCGGGCCACCCTTTTCGAACGTTGCGTGAATCACTGGGGCGCTCGTTAACACAGCCCCCCGCCTGCGTTCACGCCGCTTCGCGGCGACAGTATCGGCTGCTAATTACAAAGCGTAACCAGTACACGCCGCTTCGCGGCGTCCAGCCGGCAATCCAAGCCCCGCTGTCCCCGATTGCACCTCCGGAAAGGGAGTCCGATACCATTTAGTTCTGCGAAGTTTCTCGACAACATTCGATTTTTTTTTATTTTTCTTTATTGTTCATCGCAAAAAAGGAAATGTCGTAAATATCGCCAAATGTCTCGACAAAACAAAATGTTCGAGG